CTCTCTCTCTCTCTTCTCTCTCTCTCTCACGTTGAGTTCATAGATGAGGAAACAAGGGTGTCAAAAATGTGTAGGAGTGATAGAAGTGGCCTTATATATATCCACTTAGTGATATTTAATTAATTTGGCTTAAGCTAAGCAAAGTGGCATTAATTAATCTAATTTAATTGTTCCAAATCGAATTTCAATTGAACCTACTATAAAATTCTAAAAATTCTAATTAACATATAAATCAAGTCAATTTTTGAATCGGATGCCGATAGACCTTCAATTCACAAATCGAAACGAAAACACGAACAGATCTTTCTACGCTAAACAGATATAAGAGAGAGAGAGAGAGAGAGGGAGGATGGATCTCAACTAGAGGATTGAAGAATTGAGCAAGAATTTACTAGAATTGAAGAATTTGGACTTAGGAACTCAAAATTAAGCTTCTAACTCTCATCTTGACAAGCCTAGGTAAGGAATCTAACCCTTAGTTGTGTGATTGAGTTAGCTTTTGTAAGAATTCAAGTTAAAAGAGGTGGACTAACATGAGAATGGGCTAGGATTAAAGAATTGTAACTCAAATCATGCATGCATGTCCATATTATAAAGTTTTGAAGTTATTTTCATAAGAATCCTCACATGCATGTTCATATTTTGGTTGTAGACTAAGAATTCACCATGTTTTTTAGTTGACTATTTCATTTGATCATGTTTTGGGAAACTATGAACTCAAATTACACATGCATGACATGATCACATCATATTCTTACATTTCAAGTTGAATGTTGCGAAATTGACATACTTTTGGGCCCTGATTTCATGAAATGGTCCTTACACCTTCATATTTTACAAGTTTACACATGTTATCTTAAATTTTGGGCCCAAAAGGATGTGAATTATAGCTTTGGATTTGAATTTGCAGCTTGGGAGTGCAATTTGAAAATTCCAAATTTTGCACTTCCGCTCGAGCGTGAGATTCTACGCTCGAGCGGAAACCTTTATTTTTGGATTTCCACTCGAGTGACCTGAAGTACGCTCGAGTGTGAAATACATGCTCCTAAAAGTTTTCATGTTTTTACAGACCGCTCGAGCTACGAGAGTTGCGCTCGAGCGGGGACATGAGCCTCACGCTCGAGCGGCCATCGAGCGTTCATCGAGCGTGAAAATCACATAACCAGTACTTTTCAAAATTTGCAGAACGCTCGAGCGCGGTAAGTAGCGCTCGAGCGTCCCCTCACATATTGCATGTCCGCTTAAGCGAAAGAATATACACTCAAGCGGGGACCCTATTTTCAGAAATTTGACCAAGCGTTTACCAATGTGTTTTAGTATCCTCATTGCATCTTAGGCATTCTTAAGCCAAGATTAAGACATAGTAATGAGGGTAAAATGTAGAAACACACTAAGAACGGAACGTAATAAATTAAATATATTCCAACATGTGTTTCAAATGTGTATTTGTTGGTGCTGTTTGGTGTAGCTGTTAAAACAGATTATAGATTATAACTTAACAGATTATAGATTATGACTTTAATCAGAAGCTGTTAATCTGTTTGGTATAGCTGTTGGATTATAGATTTAAGTTGCTGTGTAGTGTTTGTTACATAAGCTGTGAAGTAGCTTTTTCAATTAATTTTTATTTTTTATTATTCACTATTTATCTACATTTTTCATAAAAAATAATAATAATATTTTATAGTCCATTTGAGTCTTTTTCTATTTTTTAAAAAATAAAAAATAAAAAAATCTAAGAGTATAACCGTGAATTAACATGTCCACAGCAGAAGCTGATAATCAGAAGCAAGGGGTGAGCAGCTTCTCAGAATCAGCTTTTTTGACTTAAAATAAGTTGTTAGAATCAGAAGCTGTTTGAAATAAGTTTAACCAAACAGTCCAAAATAACTTTTTAAAAGCCAGAAGCCATAAGCTGGCTCAAAAAAGCCCCACCAAACACCCCCGTTATGTGTTAATGTAGGTCACGCGCCTCGGGTTAAGTGAATTACCTACTCTACTCGTCTACTTAGAACCATTTGTTAATTGTGAGTAATAACTCTGTAAAGCTATGTTTAATTGCAAGTATTTTTTGACTGATATGATACGATCTGTTCTCTGAAATGCTATTTTATGAATTACGAATGAATGTCCATTTTTCTAAAATGTATTTGTGGCATTCTTAGTTCACGTGGCCCTTGCCCGAGGGTAACAATACCGTGGCCAATATGCACGTGGCCCTCGCCCAAGGGTAACAATACTATGGCTTATATTCACGTGGCCCTTGTCCGGGGGTAACAATACCGAGGCCTATATTCACGTGGCCCTTGCCTGGGGGTAACAATACTATGGCTATTTGCGCATAAGATATGGACCTTTATGGTTGTCAGTACGGACTATACATGTGAGCCTCAGGACCAAGTTGATATGATAGCTAATGGATGTACCACGTATGATTTTATGCAAGATCCAAATATGAATATGATTATGAGCATGAACACGTATATGATCCTATTTTTTATTTGAAAATTTGAATATGCATAAGACCTTGTTCTGATATAAACTCTGATTTCTAACTCTGTGATGGACATCATTCGCTAAAACCCCTTTACCTTGTTATTATTCACTGGGCTCTCACTCACTATTTATATTATGTATGCAGGTGACCAGGCACGTGATCAGGCCCAGAGTTAATAGCCTGGGATTCTGTTTTGTCAGCCACCCTTTGCGCCTCCCGAGGAGGTTCCAGACCAAGTCAAGTTGTGTGGCTATGTCTTTTGAACATTCAACACTTTGTTTCTCTTGTTAATGAACAGTTTGTTTTTGATTATCTGTACATGGGGCAACGTATAATTACTGTACCTATGTGATGTCTTGGGTATGTTTATAAAATTTAAAATTATTTTGTTCCATATATGTCTGCACAACTCAATGGACGATGTTTATTTTGTATATTTGCTTCCGCAGCCCCCACCTTATGTTATCATGTTCAGAGGCCTTTGGTAATCCAAGAACTACTGGCCAATTACGACGCTAAACCCCTAGGGGCGGGTTTGGGTTGTGACACGACCAATCCTAGAAAACAATATACTATATATCATAGTTGTCAAAATCTTACTACTCAAGATTCAATATACAATTCATACACAGATGGGTGAATCTATTATGCAATAGAATTGGTAGTGAATTGAGCGATTTACAATTCAATTCATGATCCGGTTAACCAAATGGAAAAATTAAAAGATTGAGGACTAAAGTGTAACCCATCGCTTATTAGGGGGACCATTAGTGTAATTAACTCTGGAAATTATCATTATTGGATATACCATATTCCTAATAGTTGCCAAAACAACTCATTGTTTCGATATGTTTTGTAGTGTCTTGGCATATTTCTGTAGAAACATTGGATTTTTGGTATTCCACTAATGTTTCGTTTTGGTTGTCTAGACTAGGACTGTAAACAAAATTTTGTTCCTTATGCATGCCACATGCATTGCATTCATCCAATCCATCCAATCTCAGGTACCTATAATCCCATATATAAAAACACACTACTGAACCAATAAGACTAAATATTCTTCACAAGAATGTTTCATATAAGATCAGGTGGGTCATAGATATCTTGATAATTTATGACAGATAAGCTTCACGCTAGTCAGTTGTTATGTTAACTTGACTGCCACTGAGCCTCTCACACAAACAAGAATATGCCTCCACTCTATCAATTCTTAAAAAATAATGAATCAATGTCATTCTGAATTTAAAATAAGTTGGTACTTGGCACTCAATTAGATAATCATAGAAAGCAACAATTTTCTAAACGATGTTATCAAAAATATTAAAGTTGTGTGTATGTGTGATGGAATCATGGAAATGCAACTAGTGTGCAACTATGAAAACAAAAACCATATGCAGACACCATATTGAGCCACGCAATTCAAGCCTACTATCTAAAAAGGCAATAAATTTATGTAGAAATCTTGAAAACCTGTAGTGATCGAAATATGACAGGCTCAGCAAGACGAAAGAGAAGTTTCTCAACACCATCCGTGGTTCGCTGGTTAATAAATCCCCCCAAAACCTTCCTTATCGAGGCAGCAAATGAAGCTGAGCTAGCATATATAGCACCCTCAATCAACCCCTGCAAAAACCCATTCTCAATTTCGTTCCGCAAAGGCCCCTCAACCACCTTCCAAGCCCGGAACACAATATCCGCATAGGCCTCCAACATTGACTTCCTCCCAAACGGAATCTGTGATCGAATCATCGCCAACGCTTCCTTCAACAGCTGCCCACTCAACCCAAACATAAACGCAATGAATTTCCTCCCATCCTCTGTCTTCAGATACAACGGTGCGATCAAACACCTTACAAGCAAAAGCTTCAAATCTTCAATGCTCTCATCTTCGAAATCAAACAAAGTAAAAGCCTCGCGAAGCACATACACTCTATGCACATCCACCTTCTTCTTCAATGTCAATGACCTCGACACCAAAACCGGCAACGACTGCGAAATTAGGGTTTCTCTCCCTAAGAACTCTCCTTTCCACCACTCCTCACACAAACTCGCGATCTCTGACAGCAAAACCGAATCCGACTCGAAAAGAATCAAATTGTCGTGCAATTCGCGAACCGCAGGCAACAAATCGGAGGGCGAAAACACCTTCTTCGGATGCGAAACACACAGAAGAGCCACATAAGAGTAAATCTGAAGCTTCTGAACCACCCATTGCCTGTTAGCTTCGCGATCGTTCGAACTCGACTCATCAGTGTTCTTCGCTCGTCGCGAAGATCTTCGGAGGCGCTTCGTTGGAGGAGATTTCGGAGACTTGGAAGGGTCGCCATTGAAGAATTCCTTGAAGCGATTGATGGATTGAGAAACGGAGTGGTGGAGAGAGAGAGGGAGTGAAGAAGAGAGTTCAGAGGAAGGATTGAGGCTGTGAATTAGGGTTTTGAGATAGGGTTTTGCGGACTTAAACCCTAGTTTCGTCGCTGACGAGAGGAACTCTTCGGCGGAGGATTGCAGCGACGAGCGAAGCCTCTTCTCCATTGATTTGCTCATTTCGAATTCACATTCATTCAGACACTGAAATGTGTTCAACATACATGTATAATCGTATATCATGGGTAAGAGATACGGCTGGTTGAAAGATGTTTAGATGACGGACAAATGATAGGGTAGAGAATGATTGTATGACCCAGTCAAGTTGATTGTCATTCGCTTGTCGTTCTTGGTCGCTGAAGAATGCTGTTACTTTAAATATTTAAATTTGAAATTCGTGCAGTGGCGCTCTGGTACAATTTTCGAATAATTATATACGTGCATTTCTAATTGTGTATCAATTTTTCCATTAAATTTTAGTAAATTTGTTTTAATATCATGTGCTTTAATAAGGGATTTTAGAACTTTATCAAAATGCTGATCGATTGGGTGGATGTTCAGTCAATCGATTGGTCAATGTAATTTTTTTTTTTTTTTTGCCTTGATGTGGTCGATCAATCAGTGTAATTTTTTCATAAATTTTTGTCTTGAGGTAGTCATTGGGGAACATACGAGGGACATCCGACAACGGTAATGAACTGTGATTTAATGAAAGGTACATTTATCCTCAGTTTAATGAAAAAAAAAGTAAAATTCTCAATTTAATACCTATTTAATACAACTTGAAATAGAAAAAAGAACTCATTTTTTTATCAAACTCAAATTTGATGAAAGGTTAGAATTGTTGGACAATCTTCACTGTATTCTGAATAAATTAAGTTTGTGTACTTAATAACAAACAAAAGAAATAAAAGAAAAGAGGGAGAATGTTTGATTACAAAAATCAAACTAGAAAATAAAATAAATAAATAAGAACAGATTTTTATTTTATTACAAAAACAAAATCAAAATCTGATATAAATAAATAATTAACCAGAAAATAAATTAACAACTTACTTGATTAATTTCTTAAAAAAATTTTTTGATCAAATCCAGTGTTTAACACTGTGTCCTTAAGACAGATTTGTCCTCTCCACGGTGCTTTCAGATTGTGGACGTCTATCTCTCAGGATAAAATGATTAATCAACAAAAAATTGCAGCATTACAAATTTTTCATACAACGAACACACTTAGTGTATACACTCTTACTCTTTCTCACAGAAAATTAACGGAATTAATGCAGCAAAATGCAGAGATGAATTGCAGCAGAAAAGAACGAAAATTGGTAAAAAAAACCAAGTGAGGAACTGCTTATTTATATAGAAAAATGGGGCTGTTTGGTTTGAATCCAACAGGTATGGTACCTGTTCAAGTTGAATTAAATAGATGTGAATCTGTTCGGTTTACAGTTTAAACAGATATGAACCTGTTTGATTTAAATTTAATTCTGTTCGGTTTACAATTAAACAAATATGAACCTATTTGATTTAAATTTAAATATGTTCGGTTTACAGTTAAAATAGATATGAACCTGTTTGAATTAAATTTAAATCTATTCAGTTTACAGTTAAACAGATATGAACCTGTTTGATTTAAATTTAAATCTTTTCGGGTGGGAAAAACTGGACAGGTTATTTTGGACTTAAATTTCAAATTTTAAATTCCAAAAGTTTGAATTCTGGACAGATTTTATTTTACCAAAAAATAAAATAAAATTCAAATGTTTTTGACCAAAAAAATATAGATATTGAGCCAGACAAGCTCAACCCAACCTCACACCACGCACCCAGCCCGCCCGGACGGACAGATGGCGCACGCGTGTTTATTTTTTGGTGCAATAGGCCTAGCCCACTTTGCTCATAATCTCTCCCTTCTACAAACTTGGGGTGCCCCTTAGGGCCCTCCCCAAGTTATAATCCCAAACTTTATAAACACATAAATTTCTTCCCACCAAATCAACGTAGGACAAGCCTTTATTCAAACATTTAAGGATTTTTCACCAAAACCTCATTTCCATAGAGCACACTTTGGTTTCAATTTCTCATTCACCCGATAATAGTTTTAAGCAACCAAATATACCACGTGAATCACAACGCGACATAGAACACGTTACCACTTAGACCCGCCAGCTTTGGCGCATGGGTTCCACCTAAAAATTAGACCAAAGTTAAGGAAAAATCAAATTTTTCTAAAACTTCAAAACCATTTCTAACAAGAGTGGTGTCACGTTGGTGCCTCTGCCTCTGTTGTAGTCTATTGCTTATTTGTTTGCGAAACAGATTTGGCCTGGCTACGTGGCCTTCAACTTAGCCACACACACAAACAAACAAATTCAATCATTCAATTTGTACCAATGCCGACTTCCTTTCTGCTGCTACTTCATTTCCAATACCATTCCTCTTAGAAATTTCCCAAAACAGTGATCTTCGGTTTGCCTATTTCCCAAAGGTCCTCCCTGCCACATTTTGTTGCAGATTTGGGTTTACCCACATGGAATTGAACTCAACGACGCCGACAATGAAGAAGAAAACAAATTTTACCCCTTCAAACATGGGGTTTCTCACAAGATATATATATATATATATATATCTTGTCCACGGAGTTACTGTTGTCTTCTTCTTTCCATCACTGTCGATGTTCTTTCTGTTGTAACTGTGAAAATTGGGAATCCAAAGTTCTAGTCCTGCAGTTGTAAATCCTAGTACGTACATATGTGATTTCGTACATCTATAATGTGATGGCTACTATTTACAAGTGTGTCACACAATATTGAACCACAGTGTTTGTCACCCCTACCTACATGTTCAACAAATGCACACCGTGTGTTTGTTAATATGTCTCAATAATTAAAGAGTTCACCTGCTTAATTTTCCGAATCAAAAATAAGCCCTGTCTAATTTTCTAAGTTGAAAATCTCAATCCAAGCAAGAGAAATGTATGATAGATTGCTGGGAAATATAAAACAAATAAAAAAAGAAAATGAAAATCCAAAAACTATTAGACACAAAATATAACTAAAGTTCAATTCTCAAATTCATAAGCCAAACACAATTTGTAGAACTATTTATGTAGAAAAGATTGAGCTGTAATGGTGTTACTTTGGATTACATACTAAAATATATTAAACTAATACAGCAAATCTAGGTCTGCTAGTTAAAACCCAGATGATAAAGAAGATGCAATTAAAAAACCAAAATTGTGTAATTGCTGGATGGGTATTGTGGAATGAATCGTAGAATCAAATTTAGGATCAAAAAATAAATGTCCTCCCTGTCTTCAACGACGTGTAAGTTTTCTTTGGGTAAATGGATTAGATTTGTTTTGATTCTAAAAGCAATTTTTGGAAGTAAATTAGTTTTTCATCTAAGAAAATGATCTTCATTTAGCTTGATGGTATTACTAAATCCACCAAAAACATTAGTAGATCCTCTTGACAGCAAGATTAATTTGATCTAGAAGATTAATTTGATCCTCTTGACAACAATAATATTAGTATATCATTCAGGAACGACAGTATTAATTTGATCTATCCTGGTAATCACCCATTAAGTTATTCTAAAACATTGAATTAAGTGTATATGTATCATTTTCAGCAACCAAACAATAAAAAAAATTCCTAAAAGAGTTTTCCTTCTGGTATTTAAATTGGAATGATTCACAAAAAAATAATTCAAAGAGCACAAGTTTGGAATCATAAAGAGGGCAACCAACCAAAAAACAGAGCAATCAAATTGGATTCCCTCATTGATTGCCCTCTCTCTATTTTATATGACCAACCAATAACTATGTATCATAATTCTTTGGCAAATTGGAATTATTCTAAAATCAATTTTCATCTAAAGTTGTTTTGGTGTGGAGTTATATATCTATATGTTTTGAATTTGGATTTGGATTTGGATTTGGATTTGGGTTGTTTTCTTTAGGTTGTCTTGAATGGGAAGTGGAAAAACACATTGTGTACAGTGTTCCAGCTTCCAATCAACAAAAGACATAGACATATAAATAAACTCCAAATTCAATCCCAAACCTATTTCTATGCTGTTGCCCTCTAAACATAACAGCTTTTCTTGCAAAAATGAACTTAACTGGTACATTTGGATTCATTGACTATAAAATTGTATCATTTTCAGGAAAACATTTGTACCTTTTCTATTTATTTATTTATTTTTAAATAGTTGTTAGGGTCTAAATGTATTGTTTTGAAGTGATATTTAGTGATAGTTAAAAAGTTTCTATGTAATTAACCTGTTGGAATTCTAGAAAAATCGGAGAATATTCAATTGCTTTAAAGAAGATACAGATTTGAGTAAAATTAGGTAATGTTTTTTTAGTGGTTAAGGAATTATTCCGAGGATTATCAAATTAGGTAACTTATTATATTTGTGTCTTTTACTATATTTTCTACAGCCTTTTTATGAACTTAACTAAGTTTACTATAATATTCTTGGTTACTGTTTTCTATTTATGTGTGTGGTGCTTCTAATTTGCTCATCCATGAAACTGTCCAACTCTTTGGTCACGTTTTTTCACGGTGTGGGAGGCCGGATTGGACTAGCAACGCTGTGGGTCCCACCCACAACGCGTTTGGTGATGGTTTGGTGAGCGGCTTCATACTCCAATGTCATGTTTGTTTGGATGAATATGAGTTTGGGATTGGACTAATAGTCCAATAAAATTATTAATCCGATATTTGATTAAACAATTGAAGTACGGACTAACAATCCATCCGGATATGGAATCCCACATATAATGGATTATTCAATCCTATAGAGAGGGGTGAGATATAAATTAGAGGACTAAGCCAAAGTTTGGACTATTAGTCCTCCTTATAATCCTAACTCAATCCCAACATAAGATAGGATACACAATCCAAAGAATTCGTAATCCTAAGACTATTAGTCATGAAAATGTTAATCCAACCTAATTCAGTACGCCCAAACAAACATGGCCCAAGCGGCTTGTTAAGCCCCCTCGGTAGGGGGGATTAGCTTGGGTGAATTTTGGGCAGGATTAGGAAAATAGTGAGGGGATTGAGTCTATTTTATATAAAAAATTTATTTTATTTTTTTTACCAAGTGCACGTTTTGTTTTAATATTTATTTTAACTTTTTAATATAAAAATAATTTATTTATTTATTTTATATAAAAATAATTTAACAATTCCATCACTAACCATCTCTCACACTATTATCAAAACAAACACACTTTTACTTAGTCCCCTCACTAATAATTCCTACGTTAACAATCTCTTCACTAACAATCATCCCACTACCAATCTCATCCAACCTAA